AGAGCCTACTGGGGTTTGCTGGGTTCAAATTCTGGCTCTGCTACTTTTAGCTTGCATAACTGAGACGATCTCCACATTTTGATAAGAGTAATTTCTTCCTTATGAAAGGGGTGGGAAGAGTCAACAAATCCTTGATTTAAAATCACTAAACAAGGCTGGTCCAGGTCAGAAAAAGATTAGTAAGGAGCCCACGCAAGTTACCAGCCTGTGGAAACGCACCAAGATAGCCATCTCTCCATCCACTCATTTACCCATTCCTCCATCTACCTGATGCAACACGTATTGTATGCCAGATACTTCACGAGGCACAGAATAAACCAAACATATCTGGTACACAACTTCATGGAACCCTGAATCCAGTGGGAAAATTAAAGCAATTAATTAAAACGCCCAAATAATTTAAAAATTACTATTACAGAAACAAACAGGGGAGTTGATAGAAGGCAAAAGAAGGGAGCTCACATAGAGAAAAGAGCTTTGTCTGATGAGGTGAGACTAAGCCGATGCCAGAATGGCGAGAAGGAGTCAGCCATGATAGACTGGGGAAGGAAAGACTGGGATTCTTCCAGGCAAACATAATCATGGCTATGCAAAGGACCTGTGGTGCAACAAGCTCAGGAAAACTGAAGAGCAGAGAGGAGGCCATTGGCTGGAGTATGGAAGCTGAGGTCAATAGCAGTGAGAGCTCAGGAAAAACTTTCAGCATGAAACGCTGTGACCAGAAGGATCATAACAGAGCCGCCGCTGTGTAAAGAATGGCTGAGGGTAGGAAAGGGAAGTTAAGATGTGGGCAGGAGTGAAGCTGAGGGTGCTAGAAGCTTAGACTAGAGCCTCTGCATGAAGAAGTTTGAACATCAAGGCATTTGAATGAGGTGCTGTGTACAAAGAGCTCTGAAATTTTAGAAAGCACTACACAACAATGACATTTACATGGCATTTGCCTGGGGGCATTAGGAGGGTAAGTTAATAAACAGCTTTCCAGTTCTCTGTCACCCTAGAGTGCTCTATTGACAACAAATACGAGTCCCATGTACCCTTGGGAGCCTCTCAAAACACTAAAAAATAGGATCTCTCTGTTGCAAAGTCCCTGCTAGAAGCCAATCCAGAAGTCCAGATTTACTCTGTAGCAGCTTCCTGCCTCCAAGAACAGATGTTAATTATATATTTTTCTTCCCTGATTTGTGGACGAAGCAAGTTCATGGTTGCTATGCTTTAGCTGTCCCTGGGATTGCAACAGCTTAGTGCCTTTCAAGACCATGAAACTCAGCGTGGGAGGTGTATCCATACCCCTGCTCTGCCCCTTATCGAGACAGTTCTAGTGCTGGAATTTTAACCTGGCTCAGTCACTTGCCTGCTGTGTGACGTTGGACGGGTTACTCAGCCCCTCTTCGCCTTAATCTCCTGCTCTGTAGGATGGGAGCAACATTAGTACACAACTCACAGGGTTACTGGTGAAAATGGCATAATTCAAGGAAAGTTCTCAAAACAGAGGTTATAGAGCTAAATAGAGGTCTCTGTTTCTATTTCCTTCTCTCTCCTTCCTTCCCTTCCTTCCATTAGAAACAGTATGCATTCTTTTTCCACAATAATAAAACCAAATTAAGAAAACCCAATACCCATTCAGCCATCCCCTACCCTATCCCTTGATAAGGTGATAAATCTGTTACCTTAATTTCCTTGAGCTTTCATGCATAATATTCAGGGAAGGGAAACATAAATTTCAGGATGGATAAAGAGAACTGGAATTGAAATCTATCAAGTTTCCGTTATGTACCAAACACAGTGCTAAGCATTCACATACTGACGTGATTAAATCCGCAGCAATGTGCTAAGGTGTATCAGCAATGATATGCAAAATTCCTGAGCATTTCTAAGGCAGAGGCACCAACCAACTAGCAAGACAGGGCACCCGCCATCACACCGGGGAGGTACCCTAAAGCCACCCCTGTTCCTGGATGGTGGGAGCTTCAGGAGGATTCTTGGAGGGGGGCTGGCATGGCCAGGAAGCAGAAGGGCGTGGCGGGGGGAACTCAGAACAGGGAGCTACTTACCAACTGACACAGAAGTTCAATATGTAACAAAGGGTGTGGCCACATGGGCGTGTACCGGCTGAATGTCAGACCTGCTCAGGACACCGCTCTTGGGGTCTGGAAACCCAAGCAGCAGCCCCTTGGTAATGAAACTTCCTCCCTCTGCTCTCCAGAGTGTCCTCTCTATTCTCTACAAGTCCAAGCTGAAAAGCAGGCTGACAGCGCTTGAGAATAGTGAAGGAGTTTGAATTTATAGGCAAATGCTAAGCAGCAAACATGCAGCTGGGATCAGCCTTTGGCAGTATGATTTCAAAAGGGCTATGGGATTACTTTTGTCTGGGTTGCCCAGCCTCTGAATAGTTGTCCACTCTGGACAAAGCCCGTGGCTGTTCCCCGGTCACCTCATGAAAGACAGCACCTTAGTTCTCTCCCAAGGGCCGCCTGAGGCAAAGAGAGCTCACCTGTCTGAGCTGCTGTTAGATCTTCTACAACCTGCCAGGGGAGCCATCCCTCTCCTGTCCAGACAAGGAGGAGCAGGTGCTCAGGGACCACAGTGTTGCAAGAACAGCCCCGAGCAGCCCCCTCCTGACGGGCAGGGCGACCAGCAAGCTGGGTGCAGTCAGGAAAAGTGTGCCCTTCACTTCCATCTTGCCTAGATTTCTTCCTCGCCCACCCTTAATGGATGGAAGGGTGGCTGGATACAGTGATGAAGGGGCTGTGTGGTATTTCAAACTGTACTTTGTTTTAAAGCCTAGGCAGGGTTTGAAAAAAAAATTCTTTTAATTGTTTAAAACAAGGGGCACCTGGGTGGCTCAGTCGGTTAAGCGTCCGACTTTGGCTCAGGTCATGATCTCACGGTGCGTGGGTTGGAGCCCCGTGTCGGGCTCTGTGCTGACAGCTCGGAGCCTGGAGGCTGCTTCGGATTCTGTGTCTCCCGCTCTCTCTGCCCCTCCCCCACTCACACTCACTCTCTCTCCTTCTCTCTCAAAAATAAACATTAAAAAAATTAATTGTTTGGGCTCCTGGGTGGCTCCGTCGGTCGAGCGTCCCACTTCGGCTCAGGTCATGATCTCGTGGTTTGTGAATTCAAGCCCCGCGTCGGGCTCTGTGCTGACAGCTCAGAGCCTGGAGCCTGCTTCGGATTCTGTGTTTCCCCCTCTCTCTACCCCTCCCCCGCTCACACTTGCTGGCTCTCTCAAAAATAAACATTAAAAAAATTAATTATTTTAAAAAATAACGTGGATCAGACAAAAACAGGTGAGGCGAAGGCATGGCCTTCCAGGTGGCGAAGAGTTTTGTCCAAGGCCATTTCACCAGTGAACTGAGGAGTGGGGTTTAATTTAATTAGCTCATCTCCACTTCCTGGAGGCAGGGGGAAGGGAATGTCAGTAAACGAACAGTTCAGAGACAGGAGTGACCATGGAGGACAAGGGAAATACTCCAGGCTAGAACATATAAGGAGACTGGGGATGAATACTGGGCCTGGGTTAAGGACACTCTGGAAGCCTGGCTAAGAGCAGGGGCCTGAGGTCTACAAACACAGCTCTCGGGGATTCAACCTCTACCACGTGCCAGGCCCTGGGGTAGGTATTTTGCACACATTTTATTTTTATATTGAATCCTTCCGGAACCCTTCCATGAGGAAACTGAGATTCGGAGGGCTGAATTCCTATTTTTCCAAAGTCACCCAGTAAATAAAGGAGGCAGGATTTGAACCCAGGTCCAGGTGACACCAAACCCTGTGTTCTCCCCTATTGTCTCACTCTCCCCTCTCTGCAGGGTTCTAGGCTTGACAAAATGTCTCCTTGCAAGACACCCTTAATGTCCTTATCAGTCCACTGAGCACAACAGAAGACGGGTCCAAGAGGAAGGACCCTGGAAGGAGAGAAGAAGGATGTGGAGCTCAGAGCTCCGGCGCTGGCCCAAGCAGCGAGGGCTCCCCTCAACTCACCAAAAGCAGTGGGTCGGTGTCAGAACGGGGCTCTCCAGGCCAAGCCTTTAACAGCATCACAGAGACAATGAGGAGGAAAGAGCAGAATGGTTCGCTTGCAGCATTTATAGGAAAAGAGCCAAATCCCATCTATAAACAAACTGGTGCCATAGACACTTACTAAAGACAGATAGAACACATTCTATGCTCATGTCTAAATAATCAATTGTCTTCCAACTTCTGGGAAATGTGTCTTTGCAACAGCATATATCAAAAAGGGTGAGAGGTTTCAGTCACCAAAAAATCTCAGTATGACCCAGCAATAGTGGAGGAAAACAAATGTGATCGCATCAACAGAAGCATACCAGCTGGCAAGAGGGAGGTGAGAGTCCCATTTGGCTTGGCACAGGAGTATTCCCACCTTGAGGAAGAGGTCTGTTAGTTCTGGTGTTACATTCTAGGACACGAAAAGTCAGACTCTCCACCTAGAGGACAGTGACCAGGATGCTGAAACGTCTGAAACTATGTCATATGAGACTGGCTGAAGAAACTGGGATTATTCAGATTGATTTCCAGAAGTTACAGCCCTCCTTTTTTTCTGCAAATTTTCCAAGAGCTGCCTTAAAGAAGGAAATCAGATTCATTTTCTTTGTGGACGTGAAAGCCCAGAGAAATGAGATTTCAATTCAATGTAAGGAAAAAACTTTCTAATAGTAGTGTGTGAAAATGAGGAGACTTCCCACCAGAGTAGTGAGAAGGCCATCAAGGGAAGTAATCAAGAGACAATGGAGAGATATTGAAGTAGGTAACTTCTGATGCTCTTCAAAACTCAATTCCAAGAACATGGACTCTTTTTTTTTTTCTTTCTTTCTCCCATCACTGCTAAAGAACTAGAGAAGACAAAGTCTGATGATTGCCCATGAATCCAAAGTGGCTCAGCCCCGAAGACACCACCTGTGTCCCCAACCGCCCAGCTCCTGTGCCTCTTCCCAGCTCCCCAGAACGTCCCTGGAAGGTGGGTTACAACAAGGAGGACTCACCTTTCTTCTCAAAGTCCCCCTTCTCTTCTCCCGGCTGGCCTAGACTGTCCAGGGTGTGCGTCACCTGGCTGCCAAACTCATCCTCGCGGGAGACGTGGTTGGCCCGGCGGGGTAGGTCCTCCTCCTCCTCATAGTCATAGTCATCTAGGATGGGGGTCTCCCGGATGGGCACTCCAATGACAGAATTGTGAGCCTGTAGCCGAGAGGAGCGGAAGCTTTCCCGGGCCTGGGGTCCCAGCAGCACTGATGGGATGTAGTGAATCTCGTGAGTGGCTTCCGTGCTGGCGCTCTTCTGGGGGATGCGGCGACGTTTCTGCCAGCGCCGCTGGGCATACAGCGCCACAGTGAACACCAGCAGCAGGAGCAGCAGTGCGATGAGGCCGCCCTGGAGCAGAAGAGCAGAAGGACAAGAAAATGGGCCAGTGCTCTTTGGGCTACGGGACCAGCGGGGTCTCCCTGTCCACCAGACTCAGCGCAGATCCCTGGGCGTGGTTCCTAAAGCCACAGGAACCCCTAGCTGCTGCTTGAAAGCCAGAGAGATGTCACTTCCAAACTTGGCTTTCTCGCCAACAAGCTGTGTGACCTTGGGCAAACCGCTTGACTTCTCTGAGCCTTGCTTTTCACATCTAGGAGGATGAGTAAGAATCCCTGCCTTTCCTTCTTCATCAGGTTGCCATGGGGAGCAAATGAGATAGATAATGGTCATGTCAGAGCAAGCAGATGACTAAACGCTGAGAAGAGTCAAGGCTATGGCTTCACACAGGTGAGTAGCTGAACCTCGACTCTGCCTCCCATCAGCTGAGTGACCCCAGGACATTTGCTCACGTTCTCTCAGCTTTGCTTCCTTATCTCTAGAATGAGTCCACTTAGGGATCAAGAGACAGTAGTACCCTTTCTTCCAACCTGCTACAAATATAAGACAACATTATTAAATCAAACATAATTCTGCATGGTCTGTACTTCCTTCTAATACGTGATTCCCAGTAGGGGGCCTGGGACAAAATAGGCACCTCATAAATATCTGTTGAATGAATAAATGAAAAAAAAAAACACACCTTTCTAGGTCTCCTTTAATCAGAGCATTAAGGCAAACTGAAGCTTATTTTTCTTTAATACATCCAACTAGCAAATATTCCAGAGTCTGTGTACCAAACCTTGCCCTGGAACAGGTTACGATGTTTATAGACATATCTTACATGATTCACAAGACTCACAAAATACCCTGTTCTGTGAGTTCCTTAACAGCAGGGTTACTCACAAGCATGTCTGTGTCCCCGATGGCACCTGCCAAGAACTGGACGGGACAGTGGGCATTCTATTCACTCCACTGTATTCACCGTGTGCCAGGAACATCTGCAACGGATGGAGTAGCTCCCTCAGTTACCCTGCTTTTCTTCCTTACATACTGTGCTTTGTGTCTGGGGGGCTACAGGTCCCTGTGTCGAATCCCTGGGGGTAATTCATGGGGTTGGGAAGGATCATCCTCACTGTTTGGGAGAGAGAGGAGAGAAATCCAGAGACTTGGAAACTCATGGTGAACAGTAGAGCAAAAGCTGAGCCTCATTTTTGGCTATGTTTGGTTTCATTTTTTTTGTTTTAGCTCTAAAGCCTACATCCTTCCAACCACACCCATGTGGTTGATTGCTCTTCCTTGACTATGATCTCACTGAAGGCAAGGATGATTTCCGACAACTATTTGTATAATGTCTAACAAAGACAACAGATGTTAATGCTAAATACATTATTGGGGGGGGGGGGGGGGGGGGCATGACTGCCGTTAAGCATAGCCAGTTAAGCCAAGAAGGATACTACTCACTAAAAGCATTAGGCTAGTCTCCTGCCTGCACGGGAACGTTATCGTGTGCTTTTTGCAAGGACCTTGGTTCAGTAAGCTGGAATTCATCACCTCCATGGAAGGGACAAGTGGGTGGGAACGCGGGCTAAGAAGTGGCCAGGCATGTAGGTACAGCTGAGCTACTATGGAATGCTCAGGGAGCTTTCTCTGGGCGTCAGAACTTACGCACAAACACACAAACCAAATAACTCTATTGTATTTATGTGTATGTGTGTATGTATGTACGTACATATATGCACATATGTACGTTTATAAAATGGGTGCATATGCATGGGTTCATCACATTTGCAACCCCCCCCCCCAAGTAAACATAGATCCTTTTTCCCTCCATAGAACATACAACAGTGATTGCTCTGTGTCTAGAAGACTCCTTTGCCAGGGTATTACTTGTCAGTTTTTCCATTACAGATAAGAGAGGGAGGAGACAAAGGAAGGTGGGGGAGGAGGAAAATGAAGGAAAGAGATAAGAGCAACCGCAGTGAAAAGAGAGAGGAGGCAGAAAGAACACTTGATGAAATAATAGCAGGCCCTCTCCTTATTGCTTTTCCTTCTTGTTCTTTGATCTTCAACACAATCTAATGTGATCGGGATTATAGCCTCTGTTCTATAGATGAAATGAGGAAAAGGTGGTTCAGAAAGGTTAAAGAACCTGCTTGAAGTCACACAGCTTTTGATCCTAGGTCCACCTGGGTACAAAAAGCCAGGACGTGGTAAAGCAGGGATCTGAACCCAGGTCTTCGTTGCAGAGCCACTGGCTATTTGACTGCATAGTGGTTCTCACTGACCAAAGGGAGGGGAGGAGAAAACGGGAACAATGGAGAGGGTGCACAAAGAGAGAGCAGATCCTGAGAAGGGAAAAGGAAAACATGATCTTCAAATCCAGGAGTCGATGGGCACGTCTTGAGGCTGCCTCTTCAGTAAAGCTTTTCACTTTTGTCAATTACGACCTTGGGGAAATCTCTTTGCCTATCTTCTATTTACCTCTGGGCATTTCACTGGCTGTGAGGGTCAGGCCCCTGCCAGTGTGGGCCCTTCATCCACAGCCCCTTCCGCCCACCCCGTTTATGAGACTTCGACCCTGTGGTCAGATCCCAGATCCCTGGGAAAGATAAGGCCTAACCAACTGTCCACCTACAACCACTACCGCCTGTCTCTGCCTCCACTGCATCTAAACCACCCTCCCAGGTCACCCCCTGTGGCCCTGGATCAGCTCCTAAATCCACACCAGGAGCTCCTGGAAGGCAGGAAGGCACACGCTTTGTCTCCAAAACCCTCCAGCACCGTTGGCCATAGTGGCTAAGAGCTGGCCTCAGAGGGACAGTTTTAGTCCAGATTCTACTACTTTGACGCTATGTCCTTGACTAGGTCACTTTCCCTTTCAGAGCCTTGGCTTCGTGACTGCTTAAACAAGGGCAGTGTCACAGTGTCAGCTCATTGGGTCATCGTGAGGCTAACTAAGATGTGTGTATGTAGTGCTGTGGGGAGGGTGCATGGCAGCTGCTCACAGACTAAGGTTAGCTGCTGCTGCTGTCAACAGCATTCAGCCAGGGTAGATTTAATGTAAATGAATAAATTAAGGAGGAGTGAATAAACAGCTTGACCTTCTGCACCTGAATGCCTATTCTGCGATATTTGCCTGGAGGCCCCCAAATCCTTCTTAATCTGGACCAAACACTTTGCACGTGCTCTGGCATTCACCTTGGCACAAATGTGCATGCTAGGCATCTTTGTCCTATGTCAGGTAAGGAAACTGAGGCACAGAGCCAGGAGGTCCATTATGCAAGGTAGTGCAACTGAGATTCAAACTAACCTCAACATGGCGACATGGTTCTGCTTGGAGTGAGAAGGGACAGGGGCATCGAAGGCCTGATCAGCCCCTGCCCAGCCTCACATACGCCTCCTCAAATTACCTAGGCAATTCCAGGTATAGGTTTCCCAGCACAGGAAACTTCCGCAAGGTCGTACAGAAGAATACCACCCATCTCCCTTGCCCTCCTTGGATGGGGGCTGAGCTCGAAAGTACCTTTAGCCTAATGATCCAATGATTCTTTAACCCCTGGCCTTGCCATATGATACGATCCCAGGCCAGCAGCTCTGGTTCTCCCTGGGTACCCGGACCTCAGCGTCCTTCAGCCTCAGCTGAGCCATCAACCATGTAGCTTCTGTTACAGATCAGATTTTCACTGTGAACGTTCGGCCAGAAGAGAATCTCAGTATTCAAGGGTTTACTGTACCACTGACCTAGTGAAACAAATATCCCCATGCCGGGCTCCTGAAAGGCTGAGGGGACCCCCGCCTCAAACATAGGAGCAGCTCAGGGGATGTTACAGGTAGGAGTCTGGCCAGTTCTATGTCCCTAGAGCCTGAAAAAGCAGTAGAGAACAGGAAACTGGGGACAGGCTCCGGGCATGCAAGAAATAGGTTCTGAATTCCAGTTTACTCATTGTGTTTGAGCTTGAATTTCTCAGATTCACCTAGGGACCTTCAGTTTACTCATCTGTACATTGGAATTAGCAATACCTGGAATAGTATAACACAGAGGCAAACAAAGACTAAGGGTCAGAAAGACTTTAACTCTTATACTACCACATATAAGCTGGGCAATCTTAGACAAAGGAATGAATCTCTCAATCACAATCATCTCCTCCATAAAACTGGGTCAAAAACATCCATAGAGAGAGAGGTTAGACGTGGAGAGGCACACTCAGTGCCTGGTACATGGTAAACCTGTGATAATCTCTCATTCACGCTTCACACAGGGTTGCTGTGCAAAGCAAATCTGAGCAGTGCTCTGATGGCACTTGCAAACTAACAAGTGCTGTGCACGAGCAGAGGAGCTCAAGACAACCAGGTGGCCGTGTTCTCCCAGTGAGACATTCCATCCTAAGAGAGCAGACGAGTAACTCAGAAGCAAGAAGCTGTCATGTGCGTCCACCTGGATCGGTCCAGGCTGTTGTGCCGGTCCACATGCACAGAACCGCACTCCATTTCTTCACAGTCTTTCCTCACCAAGGGCAAGCAAACAGAAAAGCAGGAGCTGACGCTAGAAAGGTAAGTGGGGCCAGAGTGTCCACCCACCGAGTCTGCACGCCAGGAGCAAACACGAGTCCTGGAGGTAGAGAAAACACAGCAGGGCAACCACAAGCCAAACAGGAAGAAGGGGACGTAGGGAAAGGCTGTGAATTTTTAGAAAGCAGGTGAAGAAGAGGCCAAGGCTCCGGGGGTGGCACACAGAGGCCCCGCTGGCCTCAGGGATGCACTGATGTCAAATCCGATTTGGACGGTGTTCACTCTCGGGCAGCCCAAGACAAACAAGGTTGGAGAAGGGGCAGCGACTTCCAGAAATAAAAATGCCAGGCTGTTAGTTACAGGTTGGTTTTTGGGAGTGCAAGCAGTACAGGTCTCGGGGTGATCAGTTTTACCCTTTCCTTAGGGATCTGAGGATTTCACTAAGCTGTCAGGCAGGAAGTGGGAGAGAAAGAGCAGGAAGAATGTGTGTGCCCATCTCTTACGGAAACTCCTTACTATCC